TTTCTGTACATTTTCGATGTATTACATTTTTCACTATGATAGCGACAAGAAAAGTTTTATTTTTTCATTACAAACCTTGAACATTGATATGTGTCATGTCAGAAGGTCGTAGCCTCAGTCTCGCTATCTACGAGAAGAGACTTGAATGGGATCTTGACATGATGTCACCATACAGTACTATGCGAGTTGCAAACCCCAAGTAATGTACCTCTGGTCTCATATAAACAAAGATGGTGACTTTGACTGTTGCGCAGATCAACGAGTACAAATGAGACGTTACCAAGCTTTAATTTGGTATTTTTTAGATGATTGGACGGTGCAATTAGTGCAAGTAGCACTCAGGTCAAACCTCATACTTGTGAATCCATTAGAATAGCACATTGGATTATGGGAAAATCAATGTTTATCAACACAAATATTGCACATGTGCAGCACGACGACTGCTGCCCTTTAACATTTCAACCTAGTTAACTACACTTATTGCTTTTCTAAAATTATAGCATTTTTATTATTTTACTCATGTTCAAAAGATGTATGCAAAACTGAAAGAATAATATAGAAATATTGGAAATACATGTATAAACTGATTTTAAGAACTGTAATGTTTTGACATAAAGACTGAATATTTAATATCTGTTACTATTACTTTTATTTAAATTGAATATAGCTGCTGAACTATTGATCTGTTTTCTCCAATTTTTATTTTTAATAAAATATTTCCTGTGTCATTAGTGCCAATTTGTAACAGCCATCACCAAAATGTGGACATTGAAAGCATAGTATATATGCTCTAAACATTAAATCACTTGTAAGTGGAAAAAGATGGGTCTGGTCAATTAAAATCTAGTTTTGTCAGGCTGACAACTTCATCATGGACCCGAACGAAATGTCAAATATGTTGCCATCTTGCGAGGCTAAACTACTTTTATGTGTTATTTTATGCGTTATTTCCTATAATAGTGTTCGTCAAACATCATAATTTTCTAAGTTTATTCCCATCATACATTGTATGACCAATATCAACAGATTTGGCCTCTACTCGATCTTTCGTTTTCACATAATAATAATAATAATAATAACTTTATTGCATCCTTAGAAATACAATGTTTCTATCAGTTAATAGCAATAAAGATTAGTTGTGATAACTACTACTACAAAAAAGAAAGTTAGTTGTTAAAAAAAAAAAAAAAAAAGATAAAGCAAGTGTTACATATCAAATGGCATTTTTATTTCTTGATTGAAATGCATTATGAATATAGTTGCCAATCTTTTTTATTATTACATCATCTTTTGAAGTCATCAAGAAATTAAATTTCTGGAGATCATCCTGGGTTTCTTGTGGAAATATAATGTCTTGTATGATTTGTTGGCGTATTACTTTATATTGTGGACATTTCATAACAAAGTGCAGTTCGTCTTCTATTTCATTCTGTGAACATTGTTTGCAAATTCTATTTTCAGTAGGTATTTTTGGTTGCATATGTCTCCCTTTTTCTATTGCTAAAATGTGATTACTAGTTCGAAATTTTGTCATTGAAATTCTTTGTTTCAAATTTAGCACATCTAAGTATTTTTCAAAATTATAAGAGTCTTCAGTTATATTTTTTCTCCAGAAATTTATGTATTTTTGTTTGACAACTTTGCCAATTTGCTGTATATGTTTTGTTAACCAATCATTCTGTTGTTCTCGTGAAAAGTTCATGTTGTTCATCATTTTTTGTATTGAAGAGTACCATTGTAAATTGGATTTCTTTTGTTCAAGGTATGCTTGTTTTGTGATATTATTGTCTGGTAATTTACTGATACAGTCCAGTATTTTATTAAATTGATCTGAATATCTACTAAGAGTGGGAATTCTCCTACTTCGGCTCTGCATGCAATGTTTGCCACAAATTTGTTCAGTCCTAGTAGTTGTTTGTAAAAATTCAATGGGTTTTTTCTGTATTG